ACGAGGTACAAGTGATATTATCTGTATATATCCACATCTAGCAGGCTTAAAGAAAGCACATCGGGAAGAGAAGGAGCAATTGCACCACCTACCCTTCTCCCTAACGCAAGGGAGCAGGAATAGGACCATTCCTGAACCTGCTTCCGCTGCATCAGAAATCTGCAGCATTGTCACTAGAACATGTGCTTCTACTCTGACAACTAAAAAAATTTGATGGACCATGCAGTGAAAACAGACATGACAGCTGTTGTGGTTCCTCCCGGAAACAGATGCCCTCTGAAAAGGGCTAAAAAGATTACTTTTATATCCTTGGTTTTTTGATTGGTTGTTTTTTTTTTTAATTTGGAAGTCTTTTTGCTGGGAGATTCTATATAAGGCAACCTATTGATTCTCTGACTAAGGACCACAGTTGAAAGATTTCCTATCACAATAAGAGCCTGGACAATAGTGGAAACCTCTTGGCTGATTCTGCAACAAGTAAACCAAAACGCTGAGGCTCCCTGCGCCGCGTCCCCAGCCACGCGGGCAGGCGCACGCACCGGGTCGGTGAATTTGGCTGGCGGCGACGGGGCGCGCGTGGCCAGCCGCTGGTCCAGGAAAACCTCCTTTTCACAGGCATAACACCAGACCCGGAAAGTGGTCAGGTTCACAGTCAGGTTGTGCTTTTTGGCCTAAAAACGTGAAACAACGACATGATCAGTCGACAGCTAAACTCAAAGGGAAGTACAAAACTATGGGAATAATACAGATTAGGATTAGGCAATGGGGGAAATGCAGCGCTCTCTGCCTTAAGAGAAATGCTCACCTGTGCATGAAGTGTGCTGTGGTCAGCAAAGGATTCCCCACAACCAACATAAGGACAACCAACCTAGTGAGAGAGAGGAGCACAGGTACAGCAGGCACTCCGGTACCACATTCCCACTCAGACTACCAGAGGGAAATCACCTATGAGGAGAGAACTGCTACATTTTGGCATGTTCTGACAGTATCAGCATTTAATCTAGGGAAGCTTTTTCTCAGAATCCTATCAAAAAAACTGTTAGACACATCTACTGTAAAATCCCCTTGCACACAAGGACACAGATATCAAGTTATTTTTACCTGAAGACAAGCCCAGAGATTTGGTCCCACAGCTCCACAAGACTGGCAAGTTCCCTGCAATCACAATCAAAGGTTTGTTTGTTTAAGTAATCTAGTTCTTCAAGAGTGAGAAACTTCTCTACAAGACCTCCCCAAGCACCACCTCAGAGCATTTTCTTTCTTAAAACCACACCTCTAATTAAATATACACTTTGCAGTGTGTTGGATAAGTGACACATTTGAGCAGAATAAAATGAGAGGGAAATATACACCAGGTGGGATTGACAAAGGCTCCCTTTATGGAACACTTGCAAGGTATTATCACCTTCCCAAAACAAACATGCACAGCCATGCACAAAAGCAAAAAGGGAATGAAGTAACAACTAAAACACCCTGTACCTTAGATTTGAGCAGCAGATCATCCCTAGTCACCTCTCCTATGGAATCCAGGTGAGGACAGATGTCTCTGGTATCCCCCATTCTCACCAAGGTGCACTTGGCAGCAGAAAGATTCTGAGACAGGAAAGGAAAGTTCTGTTGCATGTCCAGATTTGCTCTCACCGACTGGGAGCACAGCTGAGTACAACTGCCAACTCAGTTTCTGTGTGCAAAGGGCTGGATTTGCTGCAAATGGTAAACTCACAGCTCGAAATGAAAACAGCAGTTCAGTGACACGCTGTGTCTCTCAATCTCAAAGCCTCAGACTCTCTGGATCAAACAGCATCTTTGAGTGAGGAAGTGTCCTAAAGCAATAAATAAAAATCTCCCCTTAGTTCATGAACATTTTGCATAACTTCACTGGTCCCGCACACCGTGCACACACCATATTAAGTTGAAAACAGGCTGATAAACTAGACTTTACCCCCTGGAAACTAGGTTTTATACCCTAGCTCAGCAGGTAGGATGTGAGAACAAACGTGGTGACCGGAACTTACATCCTGCTGCCAAACATTAACATGCAGCAAGAAAGAGATACAAATCTAATGAGCTTGCCTGCATGAAACTTAGATTAAGAATCAAAGCGACCTGCATTCAAGACACAAGCATTTTGGCATGTGGTGTCTAGAGACTCCATACTACCTATACCATGCTGATCCGAAGACAACATTTAATTAAGATGTTACTTTGGGGGGGTTGGATAGATGACCTCTAGAGGTCCCTTCCAACCTTAAGCATTCTATGATTCTATGATACTTTATCACTAAAAATGTGATTAGTGTTTGAAATGAACATGGGTTGGAGAGAATCAGACTTAAAACATCTGTAAAACTGATAATTGATTTTCAGTCTCTGGGGATTTTGCCAAGAAAAAGATAGATGTCTAACAATGAGTCCCATAATTCTCATATCTGCATGCTTACAAGCACAAAAACCACTTTCATGGTGATCTATGCATATTTGAAAACTGTAAACACGCCTCAGTAGCTTGCAGGAATAGAAGGAGACAAAAAGAGTTTGTGCTTCATAAGCAGAGTTTAGGGAAACTCAGCTGTGCCTGTCAAAAAATATATATATCTACTAACAATACAGGCCAGGATCCAAAATATTATTATTGGCTGGAAATTAAGCAGATATAAAAAGCCTACATCATTAAGGAAAGAAAAAAAGTTGAAATTTTTGATGAGCTGTAAGTTATCAACAACTCCAGCAGCGTGCTCACTGCTCTTATGTTTTCACATTTTTAGGACATTTGAAAGAATTCCCAGTGTTACGTGCTCCAAGTCATTGATGGAAACATAACAATAAGCAAGTTGTTTCAGCAATAGTTATCCTAGGAGCTGAAAAGCTTGCCTAGCACATGGCCTTGGCAGAACACAGGTCTCAAGGAGAAGTTTGTTACTATATTTTTCCAGCACTTTGAACTAACTGTGAACTAAAGCAAGACTGGAGGGGGAAGGAGTCGCTGCAAGTATCAAAGAAAGCCACTGTAGTTGTAACAAGGAACTCGGTCAGCTGTAAGGGCATGCTTAAACTATGGAATAATTTCAGGCAGCTTCACAGAGAAACCAAATGATGTCGCGTTACGTGTGACAAGCAACAAAGCCAGAGTATCCTGGACTAATGCACAAAACTGGGACACGTTCAGGCTCTGAATCCCTCCATCAAAACTGCCCCCTTTTCCCAAATGCATCAGCTGAGTCAACAACAACAATAAAGTGCCATCTTTGTTATTTTATTTTCCTTCCTTCTTCCTCAATTTCTCATCTATTCCCTGGAGATAGAGAAAGTCAAATGAACAAAATATTTTAAAATTAACTCCAGGCCCCTTAATCATTACCAGTTTAAGCTAAGTGTTTCTGGAGCACGCTATGCTCAGCACCATGCTCAGCCTTGTGGATGCGGACGGTTTTACTGAATTCTATAGGACATATCACCTATTTAAACTAAAAAGGCTTTAAATTTTTCCCGCATTGCTGATCTTCCCACTTACAGCTTCTCTTTTGAAATAAAGCAGGAAAAAGGTCCTTTTATCCTCTCGGCCCAGACTGACTGAAGCAGGGGAGGTTCAGAAACAGCTCTCAAATCCGCGGCGCTGCCAGCAGAGCCTCACCGCAACCCACAGCTCTTCATTGTAGCTGAAGAAACCCGGAGCTTGGTAACGAGGGCGCTGCCAGAGAGCCCCGCTCTGTCCAGGACGTACCGAGCGCGACGGGAAAAGCACCTACCTTAAAACAAGTCCCTCGTCAGGCTGCCTTTCTCCAGGAGCCCTGTGGAAAATAGACCAGGAACACGTCAGAACAAGTCAAACAGTAACTGCAACCTACTTTCAGTTGCTGACATTGCTGCCAAAAAAGCAGTGTCCCTGCTTTACGCTGTAACACTTTTCTGTGTTTTGCTGCTAAAAGCGGCGTGTTTTTGCTTTTTGCCTGCTGGCAGCTTCCACGGATTTCCTACAGACGCAGATTTACAAGGCGCAGTCCCGGGATTAAACACCCGCACGGACACAGGGGGGTCTCTGCAAACCAACGGCCCCTCCGCTCGCTCCCGCTGCACGGGACAACCCCCCTCCGCGGCGGCCCGAGGCCCCCGACGGCTCCCGAAGCGT